ACTTTGAAATGATGACGTCAATCGTGCGTCTGTCCTCTAATAGATCATAGGCGAGAACCAATCAAAATGCGAGAATAACTTGGGTTATTATATAAATAACCATGTATATCTTCAAAACTAGTGTCCCTAACAAAGTATCACTGGGTATTCAATGCTGCCGAGGCATCAAAGTGAATGCGTGAGTTCACTTTTAGACCGTGAGTTATGCAAAGGCCTATTTGTGGTAACAGTGAGCAGATGTCAGAAAAGAGTTCGAGTGATTCTATCATTGTAGTCATTGTAGGAAACTTCAAGCGTAATCAAGACTAAACATCAAGATTAAATAAAAACGCAATAAGTTGCCATATTACCGGAGGAAATGCAATTTTGAATTTTGTTTTCGTTGAACTGAACGGAATGCGGAAACATTGCGACACAGCAGTTGGTATTCCTTTTGATTTAGTTATTGACGGCTCTGTTGTACATTTACATATGTACTTGTAAGACAAAAACCAAACAGCCCGATGCTTTCATTGGCTTTCATTGGCTAGTTTTAATCGTCAATAAGAGTACATGTACAGCCACATAGATTATGCCAACATGCGTGGAACTTGCATATTTTGCTGTAAACAATTTTAAAAAGCATGTTTAGTGTTGTCAGTTTTGCATACCAGCGATAAACTGCATCCAAATGGGAATTTTCTGAAAAATATCTTCAAGATGGTTTAAGATGACTATTAATTCAGATTGTATTCAGTGTTATGGAGAGAAATACTGATCTCATGCGACTGGACTAAATTCGGTAATAATTTAGTGGATTTTCAAGAATTTCAAAATGGAATAGCAATTTTATTTTTTATTATTTTATTTTTATTTGCATAAGATCATCATTATTATAACACGTCATACTACGATGTGCAGGAAGTTTAAGAAGCCTTTTTAGGCTTATCTAGGAGACCCCCTTTACTACCTGATAAGACAAGTCTGGCGGTCTATGATTTACAGATTCATGTACATGTTACATCGGTACTGAATATACTGTAAACTCTTCGAGAGAATATAGTTTCTTAATTTTCGCTTAAAAGTTAATTTACACGGGATATTTTTTTAGATCACTTGGTAAGCTGTAGTATATATAAACTCTTTTAAAACTAATGCTTAATTTTCTGAGGTTTGTTTTGATACAAGGCTGGTGTAATTTTTTGTTTGATCGAGTGTTGTGGTTGTGAACTTCTTCATTAGTCCTGAAAATATTCTTCAAAGAGATTGGTACGTAATTGATTATTTGAAAATTTACTCATTAAGACAGGAATTGTGTAATAATTAACTTGATAAACATTCAGTATCTTCAAATTGTCAAATAATGGTTTTAGATTGGCTACTGAAATTCTATTTCTGCTTTTTATTATATTCCTCGTGGATCCACATTTACTTTGGTAGTGTTATGGCGCAATTTATCTTCGACAATTAAGAATACAGAGGCATAAAATGCTAGCGTCAATTCAATTTGGTGAATTCTTCGACAACTAATCGGAAAGGCTATTGCCAATCTCCGTGACCGCGGTCCACTTGAGAAACATTTCCGGCCAAACAAACGTTGACTAGCCACGTGTATTTTTCAAAGTTGAAGTTGGCACACAATAAAATTAAAGGCTGAAAGAGGTTTTCAGACTTTCTGGCTTGGCCCTTCACTTCTTCGGTGTTGTGTGGGGTGATTTCTATGTGATTTGCAGACACGCGCCCGGTTTGACTCTGTGGAGTATTTGTCAGTTTAGCGAGATTTTAAATTAACAAGTCGTGGCGGCCTTGTTTTACAGTTTGGTTCAGCGGTGGACCTGTTCTGGAGGGGGGTTGATTGTTTTGCAGGTCCTTAATGTAATGCCCGGCAAAGGCCATACCCTTCAAATCTTACATGCTTATTTGTCATTTTGAGCCACGAAGCTACTTTTTTGCCGAGCGTGCATTCTATGAAAAATCGCGAACTCAAAATCAATTGTAGTATCTGTCGAATCGTCCAATTAAGCCTTCGAGAAGGCTCTCGTTTAACTAATAGCTGAGATTTGAGATCTCTTAAATATGCAGTAGCTGGTTTTCACATGACGTCACTAAAATTCAAACGGCAAAACTATTGATCTTCCTGAGATTTTACTTTAATGTTGTGTAAGAGCAGCTGGAAACTACTATTCATGCAAATTTTCGCTTCGAATGGGTTCTTGGTTTTGTGATACACTACGCTTGAATTTCTCAGCTTTTGCGTGACGCGGCATTTACATGCCGGCCTAGAGAGCTGTCATGATGGTTAAGAAAGTGACTTATTTCGGGGAATTTGGCTAACTAAACAGTTCATGTCTTATGTCAAGTATTATTTTATTGTTTTGGAGTTCCTTTTTAGAGTTCCTTTTAGAGTTCCATACGGATGGGCACCAGCATGGCGTCTCCAAACAAATCTCTATAAATTTGGGCCGTAAAAAAATTTCTCCGCATACCTTGCATAAAAAAAAATTGCTGTGACCAGAATCTTGGCGAGAGTCTTTGCATATTTACCTTCTTTCATATCCCAGATTCTTAACTTTATCTGTTGTACGGTTTTGATTTTTATTTTGATCTATTTTGAATGGCGTGACACTAAAAACCAGCAATACTGCTACCCTGTAGCTGATATCTTAGAACAGTGTTAGAAATCGCCGGAAATTTAACTGATATCCCGGCGCCCCTATCAAGACCCTTTTGCCAGGATACGCAACAAAAAATTTTTGGCGGCGGCTCCGCCCCGAGGTCCAACCCCTTAGCCTTTTATATACCAAGTACCTCTTTCTTATACCTTTTATTGAAAACGTACCTCTTTCACATACCTGCTCAAGAACACTGTAGCTGTTGTAACTGGCCCGTCTTATGAATAAATCATACTCAAATGACAAATTTCCCTACCCTTTCATCTGCCTCAACTTGAGAAATTCCTACCCTTTCATACACCTGAAACCTGAAAAAGGCGTCCCTTTCGGGCGGCGCCTCCCCGTATAGGCCGTTATAGGGAGTAACCCGGAACCTCTTGTTCAGGTTTCGTGTTGGATTTTGCGCGGATTACTTTGAGCCGCCAGTCAGTTCATGATCTTGGTTTTCTTTTCATTTAAACTTATCTAGTTTGATTTATTTCTAGGAGGAGCTTAAACTGGGCAAGGGGACTCACAATATGCATCGCAAGTTGAAATATGTTATAGTGCAGTTACAATGGAAAACGTTGTCTTTGACAAGAAGGCAACTTCATCTTATTGGAGTAATAGCGTGCTCGTTGATAACCACATTAGTCACTTGTCTCGTCTTCACGCCTTCGTTCTCTATTGCACCTCCTACGTTTTCCAACAATTTTATTCCTCACCACGATTGTAAATCTTGGAAAGCATCTCCCCAGCACAAAACTTCTTTGATAACCAGGACTACTTGTGTAGGAAAGTATTTCCTTCTTATCCTGGTCTCGTCTGCACCGGCAAATTTTGAAAGGAGAAAATTAGTTCGTCAAACTTGGGGCACTGCCAACAATCTGACTGCACCTCAGTGGAAGACGTACTTTCTCCTTGGTCAAACAGGGAATCAAACAGAATCAGATTTGCTTAAAAAAGAAAATAGCGTCTATGGTGACATGATTCGTGCGGATTATCCTGAACATTACTGGAACCAGAGTTTGAAGATACAGATGGCCATCGAATGGGCAGCCAGATATTGTAATTTTTCTTACCTTCTCAAAGCAGACGATGATGTACTGGTTAAAACCAAAGATTTGATTAAATTATTGCAAAGAAACTCTACGCCGAAACGAGGCCTTTACATGGGCAAACTTCACCCCACAGACAAAGTGCCTCGAACTGGCAAATGGAGTGTCCCGTATGAAGAGTACAGTGGAACACACTATCCGGATTTTTGTACAGGTGCGGGCTTTGTTATGTCATACGATGTTGTCGAGTGCCTGGTTCCTTTATTTGATGTGATTAAGCCGTATAGAATGGACGATGTTTATGTGGGAATGCTTGCAAACAGAACTGGTGTGAAAGCAGTGGATCACACCGGGTTCTATGTACATTGGGATATAACAGTTTGTAACTTTCTGCCACACGTTCTCGTGCAGCATCGAGCTACTGGACAATGCTTAATCAAACTATTACGAATGCACTCTAACGGTCGTTTTTACTATAGAATGTCTGGTTCTTTCTTGTAATGAAGAGAGGGTAAGAGAGAAAGGCCCTATAGTCCATTGCAAAAACGTGAGAGGACTGGGACGAGTTTCTTATATTGATTAGAAATCTAATATTTCAACTGAAATAAAACGTTTTCTAACTGAAAAGCTACCCAGTCAAGTTTGAGAGTTTTCAGCGGAACATTTTCCAAATGGGAGCCATGCAAACGTTACAAAATTCCATACAAACCGTTAAAATTTTGTGGCCTGTCTACCCAATCCATACAAACTCTCTATTTTAGGTGATATTTGAAGAGCCGTCATTTTGCCATTTTCCTCCTTTAAATACTTCTATTCTTGCTTAAGACTCTCAAATTTAATTGATCTTTCATTTGAATATCTTAGTTTTTCAAACAAACGGAAAACAACCATACTCTTTCCCAGTCCTCTCACGTTTTTGCAATGGGCTACGTGAGCCTTAGAAAATTCCCAAGGTAATCCCTCACGTTATGTTTAGATCACTCCTGATCGTTTGGAAATCCCGGACTTTAAGTAAGTAGTAATAATAACACCAGTTATAATTTATGTGAAGTCGTGGCACAGGGAGTGGTTGCTCGAAAAATGAAAACTACTAAAGTACAAAAAGAATTTGAATACATATTATAATACTAACGACTACATTGAATCAATTTCGGTATAAAAAATAAATAGATAAATAGATGAATAGATAAATAGGTAAACAATTGAGTAGATAAATAGATGAATGGATAAATAGATGAATAGGTAAATAGGTACAAAGACGAATAGATAAATAGTTGAATAAATAAATAGACGCATAGAAAGGTAAGTAGATAAATGGTTTATTAGATAAATAGGCAAATAGTTAAATAGATAATTAGGTAAATAGACTAATAGATGATGAAAATTGCCAACCCTTTGAAGCACATTTACTCTCGTGAACAGCCCAATCGACTTTACATGCATTTTCATCCTCCACGACAACATCCACGCAACGTGAGTTGTCACAGTATACACGGAAGAACTGGGTACCATATCTAAAAATAACGTGAGAAGGATTATTTTAGGCATAAGGCAGATATGGGAATTATCTCTCTTACCCTTCATCCTCTCTTGCTTTTAAAATATTATTTTTGCCGTTTATTTTCCAGAGGTAAATATAAGAACCTAAGCACGTATTCTGATTGGCGATGAAGCCGGCTGGTATGCTGACCTCGCAAAGAATGAATTGGCCACCCGACGCTACTATCACCCTCTTGTCCCTTATTGTATTTATCAAGGCTCCATTTGAAGAAATCTTTTTAATTCTGTCTTTGACTAAAGTGATGCATCATTGAATGAATGAATGAATGAATGTGAGTGAGAATGTATGTGACTGAGAACGTTAAATCTGTGCTATAATTTAAGGCTGTCAATCTGCAGGACCGGGTGGTTCAAAGCCCGATTGAGCTAACCCAGGATTACCAAGAATTTAGATAACTTTTTGGTAAGGTTTTCTGTTCATATTGTTTCGATAATCTCGAACTACATAAAACATTGTACATAAAAAAAAACTATTTCTATACAAGAAAAATTAATATAATACTGCGATTAACGTGTAGCCCTGGGTTGGCGTTAACCGCCTTTAGAACAACTCGGCTCTGTTGCCCAATCGTTATTGTGGATTCAATCTCTAGGGAAGCAGTTGACATAGTTACGTTGTTGCTATATGTTCTAGTTAACTCGTTACTGAGGTCTAAAATGAACACTCGGCCCACTCTCTCCAAAGCGGACACCCATGGGACCAACCCAAACTGTCGGCCTCAATTACAGACGACTGATTTGACCCCATAGAAACCCGGGACGTCAGAAATGAAATGAGTTCTTTATCAAGGCAAGTTAAACTGCTGCATTTACAGACTTAAAGAAGCTACGTCACGGTTTGCGCTTATTGAAAAGGTTAGCCTCAATTTTTCATATTCGCCGTTTGTAATCCGTGTTAATCTTCTCCATCCTTAGCCATCCTTGTTCCTTTATGGTTTATCATTATCCCTTTGGTGTTTTTCTATCCTGCTTATTTTTTAACTGAATTGTGGTGCAGTTTTGAACTCAAGTGTCAGCAAAGGAGTAGACACCAATAAGACTCTACTAAGATTATATGTTCGGCTGGTAGTTTTCAAATTATGAGTGGAAACACAAAGAAATTGAAAACTTTAAGGGTCCGGCAACAATTTCCAGTACTCTTCCAACAGCTATACTTTGAAGGATGAATACTACCACTGGTCATCTTTTTTACACAACAGATTACCATAGCGACAATGCAACCTGGTAAAAACACCGTTAATTTTAGCTTTAAGTGCTTATAACTCAAAAGCGAGCTCGGTGATCCCCATTTTCGCGTCGTGTCCACGTGACCAGTCACCTGGACACGAGGCGTATGTTGGCTATCGCGAAATTCCTGTGTAAGACATTCCTGTCTAACCATTCTTTGCGTTCCTAATGTGAGATTCCTGTGAAGGACGATTCTGGAAACTCTCGGGTTACAATCAATTTTGGCTACGACAGACAGGTGTAAAACCGCCAATGAACTGAGGGCGTTTGGTGCTATTGATTTTGGGAAATACGAGTTTCAACCACGCTGTACAGTTTCAAGACACTGCATTTATTTATTTTTTTTTTAACACGGACAGAAGGTCGAACGGCCAGCTCGGAAGCTGGTTCGTAATTCAGTTAAGGTTTAGTCGGTCACACGGTGGGTCAGTAAATCAATGAGTGCGTACTGGAGTCCGTTAGTCGTTTGTTAAATCGGTCAGTCAGTCATCTGGTCAGTGACTCTGCCCCCTAGTTCGTCTGTCTGTCAGTCAATATTCTCTCAATCGGACAGACACTAACACAGGCAGGCAGTCCAGGGGAGTAAAACAGTTCCGGTATAAGAACGGCCCACATACATTCCTCGATGCCGTATATTAAAGAAGAAAGGCTAGTAAAGTAACGGAATGTTGCCAATACCGTTGCCCTTAATCGTTAATTGGACGTTAATTTACCCTCTTTTTTTTGAACGGGGGAGAGTTTTGAGAATTGAGATGACATATTACCTCATTAGGCGAAGAAAGATTTACAACAAAGTGGTACGAGAAGGTACGAGAAGCAGGAAGAAGAAAGAAAAACACTCAAAATGGTAACATTCAAGACTTGGGGGGATAAAACGAAAAATACATATTTATTATTTATTCACAAATACCTTGAAGTGACGTTTCCTGAGAGGAAGCACCTAATAAAAGCTGTACTTCTGTAACTCAGTAGAAAACACAGAACTACCACGAATTGTTCACGTAGTCAGGTAACGGACGGTGCGAGCAAAAAGAATTTACATTTTGATAATTCGAAATAAACGAGTCATTTTCCTTTCTTTTTCTCACATTTTTTTCTAAGAGAAATAGAAAAAATTTTCCTGTGTTGCTATTTGGTTATAGAAACACTCGTGGAAGTTTGGGTGAACTCGAAAAAGCTGTGGAAACACTCACCTGTGGCTTGTGTTCTCACAGTAGTCCTCGTCCTCCCAAATTTTCACTGGTCGGTTTCGTCAAAGTTAAGATTATCAATATTATTATAAATTTCTCAAATATCGTTATGAGCTTATTCAAGCATGACATGGACTACAACTTGGAGATATTTAATGCTTCTCAGCCCTTTGTTAACCCTCTTTCTTTCTCACCCCCCTCCACCCCACCTGTTTCCTGGTCGGCTGCCGATTTGTCTTCAATGTTGTCAATGCGTGAGTTAATTCCAAAGTAAGTGCGCGCGCACTTTCAAGCAGGATCTCAAGTGATGTAATAGGCAAGCGAAGCGTCACAAAGAGCCACTAAGCCAACTTTGCCAAACTGAGTGCAAAGCGAATGACTTCAACAACGGGAAGAAAAAGGTCAAAATTACGCGATCTTTTGTTAATCATTCGCCTTTTTATTTATTGTATCGCCATTGTTTTGGTCAACTGGCTGATATATGTAATGCGAAGGCTTCGTGCGTGTATCCAGTACACGTTAGCGATCTTTAACGCACAGAGCAGGAAACCACAATCTGTCGCTTGTAGAGAGGGCGAAGACCGAACAATCTATGGAAAGTTGCAACGACGATGTCTACAGGGGGCGAATCAAGCAAAGAACAAGATACGAACTCATGATCAACACAAGAAAAGGAGGGGCAGTGGTCGAAAAAGAATGAACTATTCATATCTTCAGCCACCGCCAGTTGAAGAACTGACTTTTACAAGGGGCGATGTCTGGAGAACAAAGAGCGATACATCGAAATTAACACAACCCCAATTGCGAGTGTATTATGGCGATAGTGTCAAGTGTAATACTGACATGCACAAAACTCACAGCAACCGAGTTAATTGCTCTCCCATTTCTTTTTCGAGAGAGGTTAAACAATCCGTACCACAAGCAAAGAGCAGCTATGTTCGGACGTCAAGGAACAGATTTGTGAGTCGCCGCTATCTAGGATGGTTACAGCGATATCCAAACCTGCGACCTAAACCAAATTGTAAATGTAGCCGTCCTAGCTTGGTCCACCCGCGTTTCACAACACTGTCGCAAGTGAACACTGGAAAACAGGTGCGTGCATCTCTGAAAATGAAATACGCTCAGGAATATGCCATCACGAGGCTGATGAAGGAAGACAAAGTTTCCGACGACCAATTTTCGAGTCAAGTGGAAACTTGGAATGAATGTTCGAGTACAGGGAAGTTAAGCTGTGACGTTGTGTCTGACTCAGTTGATGGCAGTGGGAAAAATCTGGAAGCATCACAAGCAACCGTTCATCATTGTTTGACAGCACGTGTAGCTTCATATCACGAGGGCAATACAAGCGGCAAATTGATGGCTTCAAAAGAAATTAGGTTTCTTCATCCCTCTCTGTTGCACGATCTGCCATTAAATTGTGTTAACAAGGAAGCAGTAGCTAAGATTTCACTGCAAAGTGCACCAAAGACCCTGCGACCCAACTCTATAGCAGCTTTGAGAGAAGCAACATTCAACTCAACAACAGATGTTGACCACACCCATTTTCTAGAATCTAGCCTTGGTGTTGCTTTAAAGCGACCGGTGAAGAGTTTATCAGGATATGATTTCTGTAATTCTAGATCTGCTGTTACTAAGGCAAGGGCAGTGGCCACTTCCACCTCAAACGCGATCAAAAGAACTGTGATGAGTCTAACTGCCGTAATATTAAAATGACATCCTTTGAACGGGTTGGAAAACAAATCCCGTTACCATTAACAAGTTTTGGGATTCCTTTATAGTCGATTGCCTACATTCTAAAACAAAACTTTTAAGAAATGAAATATGACCTCAAAGCTGATCTGCGATCCTCCTCCTCCTTAACGATTTTGTTTCTATGCAGAAAACGTACGTCTCTTAATCTCTCAACTCAATATTGACTAGAACCAAGATGATTATCTAAAACAACGTCACTTGTTTGATTATCTCTTTTCCCTTTTATTTAATAAAGATGTATTTACAGTGTCATCTCGTTTTCTCATTAGTAGTTTTGCTCGCGATTGTAGCTCCCCTCCAATTTTTTTTTCCACGACTCACCGAAACCTACCTTCATGAGAGTCTCGAAATACGACACAGGTAGGGACGTTTGTTATAGAAAGCCGTTGTGTGAGGTGAGTTCCGGCGCAAAGTCGAATGCCTTTCTGTCGCCTTTCTCAATTTTCTCTCCCCCCATTTCCCCGTCCCCAACCAAGAAAAGCACCCTTTTGAGCCTCTGCGGAGGAGAAAAGGGAGTTTCCATGTAGACTAACCGTGTTTTAGCTTGAGGAAGATTTTTTTGGACTCGTACAACGGCTTCTTAATGGTACGCAAAGAGCATGTTTTTGTGTAAACCTAACTTGAGCCACACCCAGATACAACAGACAAAGATTTTGGCACCTGTTATGTCTGCGGCACCTTTATCTGAAAGTCCACCGACGAGGAGTGGATTAGTATTACGCTTTTTTTCGCGATGCAGGTTCCAAGTCTCACCAGATTCCCGCATCCTCGCACGTGGCCCGACATATCCATGGACTGTGCAAGAGAAAATGAAGGAACTTCCCTCATGTTTTCTTAGTGTATGACATTTGCAAGCTGTGGACTTGAATTTTTGGATTCATTGAATTTACGAATTGAGTATTTGAATTGAATTTGTCCGACATGCAAGTTTGATTAGCTTTTTTGAATAATCGCTTGTTTGAAGTTACTGATGTTTAAATGTTCTAGAGCACTTCGAAATCTTAATATTTGATTTTTTTTTTTTTAACTTAATTTATTTTCTCGAACAATTACAACAATTACAATTAAACTTACACTACAGTTACAAGTAACAGTCTACTGAGTACGAATCAACCCATTGCAATCTACACATTACATTCAACCAACTGTAAGTAGCATTCTGTAAGTTGGTTAATATTTTATTTTGATTAAATTGTTTTACTAAGGTAAATGTTTTAATTGGATTTTAAGAGGCTCGCATGAATGTTTGAATCATTTGTTGAAAATTCACAAGTAATGCTGGAATGCACGGATCAATGTTCGCATCGGTTTGAATAAAATTGGCCAACTGAATTTTGGCATTGTGGGAATTCCATAGCAACTAAATCATTGTGCCGAGAATGTGCATCATAAAATAATTGTGTTGTTCAGAGACAAGCATAAATTGTCTTCGAAATTGAACTGTTCAACATCTAGACATTTTACTTGTAAAACAGAAAAAATCAAACCGTCTCGCTCTCATCTCGCATTGTGATATTACCGAGAAATTAGCGAGTTCCCTGTTAGCAGTGAGTAAAAAATCCAGGGGGTGCCCGGGTACTTCCCTATAGGGGTTATATAGATATGGTCGGCCAAAGGGTATGCATGGTTTTTTAGCCGTTTTAGCGGTTCTTTTAACCAAGCTCTATTAAAATTAAACTTATAAATATCTTCAGGCGAATCTCCCCAGTGGTACATGTCTCCGTTTAGTCGCAAATTAACGAAGCCGGGATACTTTTTTGAAGAAATGACAACTTCTTTGTTCCGCTATCGTTTTTGGCGCCGGTTGTCAGATTATAAATATCAAGAGATGTAGTGTCATCAATATCTTTGCTATACGTAGTTCTCAGATTTTTTCTCTAATAACGGCTTGTAGTAAGAAAAAAATTTTGTGTAGACCTTATTAGACCCCTAAATTTCAACAGAGATTATCTTCAAATCGACCCAGATAACTCGGGGGATGGGGGAAGGCACTCCCTTATCTGGGCTATATAGGTTTGTGCGGCCCTAAAAGGGTATGATTTCTCAGCCGTTTTTGTCATAAATAGGGCATTGATTTTGGCCATTTTGGTCTTAAATAGGGTCTGGTTTTTGTACTGTAGTCTTGAATTGGGTATGTTTTTTTGAAGCGGGCCGCACACCCCTACTAAATTTAACTGGGATTTCCCCGCCCCCCTCCCCCGACCGCCGGGGCCAGATAACCAGTTTGAGGGCGCTAATTAATGACGTGTAAAATTCCTAGTGAGACAACTTTGAGAGTTTCCACAACACATAAAATACGTGAAAGCAATCTCAATGAAAAGAACAAAAACCAATTTACAAAACTAAAACAAACAAAAGGACTTTCGTCATCAAAAACGCCAACGAATTCGAACTGTATTCCAGCTTACCACAAAGGCTATTGTTCAAAATACGGTTCACTGATTGGACACAGTGGGTAACACAGGTGGCGTGCTGTTTACCCTTTTCACGAGGCGCGTGACACTTTGAGGCAAGCAAACATTGGGATTTCTGGTTCTTGTTTCGTAAAAATCTTACTGTAAAATTTGAGTTTGACGCCTGTGTACCTTGAACATTCTTTCTTCGACAGCTGATAAATCAGGTCTTGGACCAACGCTGTGGAACAGCGATTCTTCTGATTGATATTAACGCTGTGCTGACAGGAAATAATTTTCCTGAAAATGCACAAACGTGCGAGAAGACTTCGCATGGTGAGTAAAGTTCACTGATGTGGTGTCGATGTATCATTACACTGTAACTGACTCTGTCGAAAGTTATTGATTTTTGGTATTGACTAAACTTTTTATAACTGAAATGAATTTACGCACATTGCATCGAAAAAAGCTTGTTTGCGGCTGATATGAAGGGGGTAAGCCCAAATTTGAATAGAATACTATGCTGTCATCGGTAATTGTGGCACTATTTTGTGATAATATCGAGCTTTTCATCGAGCAAAGAAAGACTTGATAACCTAACGTGCTGGACAATCGAACACTATCGAATAAAATCGAAACAGCGCGATCGAACTCGCTCGATTGCGTTCTAATTTGTTACTACACACATCCAATATCATCGATCGAAGCAGTAGTTATTCTAGAACTTACGAGAGTTAGAAATATTGAAATGGTCAGAGCAAGCTGTACTGAAGTCTGTTTTGTTCACAGTTTACAGTCAATTCGTAAACGTGGATGCTTCGACTTTGATTGACACATATGTGTCGGTACAGTTTATCTTTTGTACCTGTTTCTACGATTCTGGGTACGATTGCATTTTTGTTGTGAAGAGTCATTATTGATCGTAGGTTTCATGTGTAATCTAAATAGCAGAAATTAATGTAATGATTAAAGAAAATGTACTTACATTCTTATGATAGGCATTACATAGACTGAAATAACTTTTGTGCCGACATTGTTGAGCGAGACTGTTTGCAGCCGTGAAAGATTTCGTGACCGAAACGCCGGTTGCGTGACTTTTGGGAGCTCTAGATATGCAGAGTATCAATCCTCGTATTAATTTTGCAAACCTAGGAAACCTTAGTCTCGGAAAGTTACAGATGAAATCCTTATGTACGTGTTTTAATTAATGGCTGTGCATACTGGTTGAGAAAAGACTTGCTGGGCTGGTGTAGTACAATGTGAACTACAGTGTACAATAGATCTTTGCAGGATTACGGCATCATCACTGCCAGGTTGGATGACCATTAACAAAAGAATTATCCCAAGCTTTACTGTTCCTGTCATCCAACATGGCTGTCAGGGTCTTTGTCATCTTAATCTTGAGTCAGGGATGGTTGCAAACCACATATACATGTAGAGCTCTTTCATAAAGTAGTTCACCAAATAGATTTCTAACCATTATAAGAGTACAGATTATTTTGAATTATCAACTTAAAAAGGAGGTTAATAAGGCTAATTTGATACTTAGAAAATAATTGGCAGCCATTTATGAAAGGGTCTATAGGGAATGTAGTGAGAATTGGTAGAATCATGGTAAAACATGAACTACAGAAAATGGAGACAAGTGAAAAACAGGCCAGTAAAATTCAGAGTCATAAGAAACCTTGATTTTTTTTCTTCACTGACATAATTACAACCAAGAAATAAAATTGCAATTTTCAAAAATTTGGAGACCTGTTTACCATGTATAACCCTTTTGTATTAAGGATCCCCACTTTCATGTTCTGGAACAGATGTTTTGATTTGGTGGACTTGCCCTTCATTTTTCTTTTTAATAGTGTGCAGTACAACTGTATGTGATTCGAGTTTTTTCGTGCGAAAGAAAAATAATGGTAAATAAGAGTTTGAGTGCTATAAATCATTGAAACAAAATCTTAATGTATAAATCAGGCTCGATAAACTGATAAACAGTAAACTCAACAGAACTAAAATTCTGAGAATGAAGCAATGCTACATGGCCATGATGTAAAATGACAACTCGAGCAAATGGTCGAACTTAATGCTGATTGGCTAATCTAGACAATTGACATATCGTCACACTTAAGGCACTTTTTTCCCCAAAGTGTGCACATTAACATGCTGCTTAAAAGTAGCATGATGTAAATGTACCTTTTTAATGTCACTTTGTCACAAATGTTAATGTGATACAGTTTAAAAAGCTTGCTGAGTATATGGCTCAGAAATGCCATTTCCCAAATGCAAGTTATCTACAGGCCAGTTATGGAAATGATTGTCTGGTTATTTACATGAAGTAACTCGGTTATGTTATTAATAATACACATGAAAAAATTACTCGATTCTGATTGGCTAAGAGCAGTGCAGTTCAAGTGTAACACCAGTGCAAAAAGTGTAACATCAG